AAATATAGATAATAACTATACCTCAGTTTCACAGTATGACTTAGTATGATGCTCAAGAGACAGGTACTTTATCAGAGATGCTAAACTCAAATGACTACCATGTCAGGAAGGTAGCATAAATTAGTAACAGGGGCTATGGAATACTCTATCCAAAGAAAATTCCTACCACTCAGCTATACTCTGCAATATGTCCAGATGTGTAGGATCATGCAGTCTTTCAAGAAGAAACCCACAAATGGAATCATTTTTTAAAATAAGAGTTGCTAAATTTCAAAATATTGGCAACAAACCAAAAAAAAATCACACAATTATGGGTTAAATTTGACACATGGACCACAAGTTTTGACCTATATTATGTGAATTTAAAGTACCATTTTTTTAAAATTTAAGACAACAATGATATATGGTGGGAAAATGGGAGTGGAGGAGGATGTTTCTATTTTGGTTCCCAATAGAGCTGATTCAGATTTATGTTGCTCCTCCCAAATCTTTTGTCTCATTCTTATCTCCTCATACAGAGATTATGTAAGTTCTCAGAAATAATATCTCCCAATGCACCTGTCCAAATACTTTCATCGGTCTTTGCTTTCTCCACATGTGAAAAGAAATCTCTCCTACAGAAGGCTAGCCACAATCTCTTCTCTGAATCCCATCTCTTCCAAAATCTTGCTCCCTCAACTACTCACTATTCTTCCTTGAAGTCCCTCCCCATCACTCACTTCTAACCATGGAGGTCTCAATTTTCTACTATCTTTTTATCCAAACTGCTCTCTCCTTACAGTCCACAGCAAGGTCAGCCTTACCAAACCATGACTGCCCTTTTAAGTCATAATCTTCCTGTTGGGTCACAGGAAATGGAACCACTAGGTTATAAGTTGTGGGGCAGGAACTCTGGAGATCAAGGAAGTTCAACAAATCCTGCTGTTTCAGAACCACCTTTGAGAAACCCGATGCCTCCAATTTTTGAACTTTTCTGGTGCATTGAGGCATGGACTAGCCTGCCTAAAGCCTCCCCCACTGCAGGCTTAGGTTTATTTTTTACCCTGTCCTATTTCATCTGTCCCCACTTGATCACCTGCTTTCTAACTTACACAATTTTCCTAGTATTTCCAATGTGCTGTTATCTTTTCTTCTTATGGTCTTTTGTCTTTTTTCAAATAATCCTTTTTCTATCATAGTAGTGATTTGGAAGAGAGCTAAAAAAAAAAAAGAATGTACATATACCCATGCATATATGTGAAGAATGTATATTTAAGAACATATACACACATATATGTATATATAAATAAAAGTATAAGGCTTCTGACTAATCAAAGATGTATAACTTTGTTCTTAAGTTATTCTCTAGAATTCTTTATTCTTGTTTTTTTTTTTTTTAATTCTTAAAATTTGGCAATACATACCTCTTGTGGTTTTCCTCCTATGTCCTGGAATATTAGCAAAGACTGGAGCTTATAGATCTGGGTTCATATTCTAGCTATTCCTCCTGCTAGCTATGAAACTTTGGGCGTTTGCTCATTTATAAAATGGGTACAATGTATATAAATAGTATAGTCAGAAGCTAATCAGGAAAACAGAAACATGTTAGTCATTTTAACAGAGAATTAAATATAGAGAATTGTTTTAAAAGGTGTTGGAGAACGGAAACATAGAAATGACACAGAAACCCTAACTACAGGAAACTGCTGCCACCTCTAGGCACAAGGGATCAGAGAGAAAAAACTTGGATTATTAGAATCTAGAAATTTGGAGGAGGCACCATGCACAGTGGGATTCAGTCCTCTGAGCAGGAGGCACTGCTCAGCTGTCGCTGATACCTCTGAGGGGGATCAATATGGCAGAAAAAAAAAAAAAGAAGAAGAAGAAACTGGAACAAATTGTGGCAGAAACCACACCACAAAGACAGCAAGAAAACAGGAAGAATGAAGTTCCTTGCTCTTCCTCACCCTGGAACTCTTCTTCAACTGCTCCTGTCCCCAGCATTGTAAAGCAGAGAGGAGGGTGGGTCTGGTGCTGAAAGACACATTAAATAACCAGAAAAAAGAGTATAGCTTAATGCTTAGAACATCTTAGGCCATGGAATAAAAGTTAGTCGTCTTATTTTCTGCCTTGCATTTTAGGCCCTCTTTTCTGCTTTTTCTGCAAGCTTACCTGGGACAAAAAAAAAAAAGAAAAAAAAATGCTTGGAAGAAAGCATCACCTTTTAAGTTAATGTAAACGGCTTAAAAAGAAACTTTTACTACAATTTGTCCTTATAACTGAGGTAAACATAACTAACTCTTAATTCTTCCAATAAGAACTTAACACAAACTCAACTGGAACTCTGTAATTTACCCTTAATATTACTTATGCCTCAAAAGTCACAAAGGTTTCTGTGAGCCTCGGCTGGGTTGGGTACCAGATAGATTCTTTCCACTGTTCTTGTGTTGATCAGCTTATGGCTTCTCAGCCTTGGTTATTTATTTTCCCAGACTTCTCATTTGAAATTGGTTAGAGAAGATGGAAAAAGGGAAAGGTACCCCATGCAGCACTTATTCATCTTTAAACACCTCTACTATTAGAAAGTGTTAGTCTATCAGGTCTACCTTCCTTTCTATCTAAAGCTTTTTTCCATGCTACTTTACACTCTTTAATTTTATTTTAAAAGAATAAACCGAGGTCTTCCTACATTCTTTTATTATAAATTCTCTATAGATTTTTCCTAGCACCTACCAAAGCAACTTCTTTTTCACATAAACTATATCATAGACTATTACCTTATTAAGAATGAAATATTTATAAGAATTTTAGCTAGTTTCATTAGGGTATTGGAAATTGAAAGACATATATTAGAGAACAAAACACAGAAAAGATAAATTGTAAATTCCGAGTAACAGAAACATAAAAGTAAGCATTTCTTGTAGTGTAATTTAGAAAAGAAAAATCAAAAGATTTACTAAGGTTTGTGGGGCATGGCAAAAAAATTTTAAGAAAGAAAATACCCTAAACAAAATATCTTCACTCTGACATTAGTGAGTGGATGTTTGGGGAAAAGGGGCTTGCAGAGATAGTAGACAAAAGTAGCTCACAGCAACAATTATAGAAATTCTATAGTAAAGTTTAGCAATTATAATTCAAGTTATTGATTCCCCTGCTCTTACCAATAAAAGTCCCCTCTGGGACATATGACCGTAACAGTCTGCTAGTTGATTCTGAGTGACCTTTCTCACTTAAAATTTTTTTCATATCAATAAATCCAAAGACAGTTTACAAGGTGTAAGTAGTAAATACAGTTCCTTCTTTCCACACACCACCATACCCACCCCGCTTTGTCCACACCACATGGCTCTATAGTAGGGTTTTCCAACAGTGGCATTTTGGACATTTTGAGCTAGATAATTATTTGATGTGCAGAGGACTTTCTGTTTAGCAGCATCTTTGGTCTCTATCCCACAAGACGCAAGTAGCAGCTTCCCCAGCCTCTATTCCTGACAACCGAAAGTCCCCTGGAGCAAAACTGCTCTTGGTTGAGAATGACGGTTCTACAGTTTCACTGTACTTGACTTCCAGATTTCATAGTTAACCTCTTGGTGATTGCTTTGTAACTGCTCACACATTAAGTTTTCACTTCTGGGCAACTGGTGATTCTCAATTAAAATCACCACAGGTCTCATGAAGCCTCTTTGTTCTTCCTCACGTCTTCACTTGCTGGAGTGGCAGCATGAACAAGAGCACCTCTATTTGTTTTATATGTCATTAATCAATGATATTTATCACCATCCCTGTGGTCTAAAGACAAAGACAATACCTATATAGGAAAGACACGTCTAGTAATATATTCAGTGCACACTGTACTTCTCAGCCTTAGGCTTACCACTTGAGACTCAAAGTATTTGTAAGCTCCTTGTACTAATTTTAGCTATTTTCTCTGACATGCAGGATGTGTTTGGAAACTTATAGCAAAACTCATTTTAAATTATCATCTTCTACAACATAAATTCATATATTTATATAGTTTTGCAAATTCTGTTGATGATTTCGTTACTTTTGAGCTATATGCATTTTTCATAGTGACATAGATTTCAAGGATAATTTGGCTTTAATGTTATTCAAGCTTACTTTTTCCTCCAATCATTCCAGCTAAGGGACCTATTTACATAATACCTAGTGCCTTGTTATTTTTTTTTTTTATTCCTGCCTCACTGGAAAGCCAAAAATAAAAAGAAATGCATTTTCAAAGCATTTTTTCGTTGAAAGATGCTTATGATATCCAACTTTCTAGTGAAATTTC